TGAAGCACTTAACCCAACGCGCCTGCACGTTGACAAGACGCCTTCGGTATATTTCCTCGGAATAAGAAGGAAAGAAGCGAGAGAGATGATGGCTAGAAAGATGTTAAACACATCATAAAGTATCGCGACCTACCTACTCCTCTCTGAGCCTCATCTAGTGTGGAGGTAAATTGGGGACAGTGTCAATAAACCTCAAGATAATGGGTAGCAAGAACGAATTGCTCTCTGTTTCAAATGACATCTGACTTGGTCCTTATGTGGAATTAAATATATGTTACAGACTTTCGCTCTCATGTCCATCAACAAGCGTCGCGGCGGCAAGACCGCTACAGCGCCCATCATCGAATGCCTGCTCTGGGGTAAGTATAAGTACCTAGAGAAAAAGTCCAACTCGGAGTGCAGCCAAAAATCATACGTCAACACACATTTGATGATGCTGATCAAAAATTTGAACGACCTTCTTCCTTTCATCATTCGTGAAAGCGTGATCCAGACGGCGGTCGTTGAAATCAAGGTGTGTTAACGTCGTCCAGCTTCTTTGCTGTCGTCCTATAATTGACCTAATACACAATCAGGATGTACATCGAATCTTTTAGGTAGACTCACTGAGATCTCGTCAGTAGCGACCAAGCGAAACGGATGATCAATACCTAAGAGATCAGAACTTCGAACCATCAAGACCAAAAATGGGCGGCTATTCGGGTTTGCGTTGCAAATATTAAATGTTTCTCACAGGCGATTTATATAATTCGGAGCAAGTTCAAGCTACGTCTATATCCATTCCAAGATGTTCGAGTCCTTAGACACCGCTTGACGCGACCCATCGTTTGTCTAACAAAAACGCCGACACGGTTCTGATGCCTCGCGCCTGTCTTCGTAGCCATATAAAACGAAATGATCCCTCGAAGCATTTCGGATTATCAATGCTGTCTCGTTGAGACGCAGTAAATCGAGATTTGGGATGCTGCAGGCTGTTGATCCAGCTTCGCTGCACTTCTACCGAGGCGGCCGGTACAGGCCTGAACATATTACCCGCATTCTTCCAAGTTTCCTCCTTTACTTATTCATTCGGAATAAGCGTCAGACGGTTATACAAAACAGAGTTGGAGGGATTCAAAACCAACGAGGTGCTACATACTAACTCCTACCCATGGGACTGTTCATGTTGGCCAACGGGCTCGCGCTTTATTAGGAATAGCCGGGAGCAAAAAAAGGGCTCCATTGCAATTGGGACAGCCAGTTGGACACTGAAACATTGCTTGGAGATCCCTGCTGCCATTTAATTGAGCCTTAAATAGAAAACCCAATGCTGAGATAAGACCGACTGCCAGAGAGATGACTTAGAACGACAGGGCCCCAGACCTCAACCCCGAGGAGGTTGGAAAAGACCGCAACATACCCAACACTCTCAGAGACGTATACAGCGAAAGGTTCTGATGCCTAGGGTATATAATAGATGGACAAGTCGTATTTAGTATTATACCAGACAATGGGGGTCTTCAAAGACAAGTAAAACAGAGACGTGCCGCTTATCCTGAGCCCTACTGACACCACTCCCCAAGAAACGTCTACCTCCTTTCAGGGCCAAAGCTGACTCCTTCTTGCTTATTGTCATTGAATAAGTGGGAAATAGCCAACGATGACAGCGCTCGGGCGGAGAGTTGAAGCGTTCACGACTACTCAGACAGTGTCCCATGTGCCTGCTGACAACTCATGTCTCGTCAACTGTAATGCTCATCGTCTCAGATTCCGCGAGCAACAGATTTAGCGTCTGAAAAAGTCCTCATGCTTCTGAGTAAGGCTTACTTATAGTCATGAAAGACGCCGCTCAGGAACACGTCGACAGGCACAACGACACAAGCCACACACACCCTCCTCGAGAAGAAATCTCTAAAAGCAGAGTTAAATTCTATGCAAACTCATCCCGCTACTCAAAACCATCTATCGTTTACTACAACTTCGCCCTCCCCTTCTTCCCCTGCTCCATACTCCTCCCCACCAGCTCCCACGCAAACTCCGCCAGCGGCCCCCTCGTGACCGCGTACCGCTTCGCCTGCTCGCTGCTCGCCTGCCCCTGCGCCGCCCGCGCCGCGATCCCCTGCAGCACCGCCGACAGCCGGAACACGTTGAACGCCATGCCCCAGTTGAGCTCCGGCGCCGGGTCCCACCCGGCCTCCGCGCCGTACCACCCCACGATCTCCTCCACGCTCGGCAGCCCCGGCGTCGCGCCCGCGAGGAACCCCTCGTGCGCGTACACGCCCGAGTTGCCGCGCGAGGCCGTGAAGTACGGCGTCAGGAAGTTGCAGAGGTCCGAGAGCGGGTGGCCTACTGTTGACATCTCCCAGCTGCGCCTTTCCGTTAGCTTTGGTTCTGTATCCAACCGTAAGGGCAACTTACTCGAGAACCCCAATTACCCTCGCCTCCGTCTTGTGAAACACGATATTATCAATCTTGAAATCCCCATGGATCAACGTGCCCCGATCCCTCGGCTGCGCCGCCTTATCCTTAAAAAACCCAATCATCTCCCCAAAATGCGGCAAATCCCCCACCCTCTCCCCCGTCTCCCGATCCTCCGCCGCCGCCTGGCTCTCGCAAATCGTAGTCCACGTCGCAATCTGCCGATCGTAAAACCCGTCCCGCTTCCCGTACCCCTCCAACCCGACGCTCTTGGGGTCGACGCGGTGCAGCCGCGCAAGCGTCTGCGTCGCCGCGCGCCACAGCGCCTTGCGCTCCGCCGGGTCCGCGACCTCCGGCATCGCCGCGTCCTCGAAGATGCGCCCGTCGAGGAACTCCATGATGTAGAACGGCGTGCCGACGACGGCGTCGTCCTCGCACAGGCACAGCGCGCGCGGCACCGGCACGTCCGTCGGCTCGAGGGCGTGGATGATGCGGTGCTCGCGCTCGACCTTGTGCGCCGCCTTGGAGAGCAGCTTGCCGGGCGGCTTCTTGCGCAGGACGTAGCGCGTCGAGGTCGCGGAGGTGAGTTGGTAGGTCGGGTTGGACTGGCCGAAGCCGAACTGTGGCGCGGAGGAGGGTCAGCGGGGGGACATGAGGTATAGAGGGAGGGGGGAGAGGTGGTGCTCGAGGATTGGGAATGGCCTCATGAAAGGGACCGGCGACCGCAATTGCGTACCTGCTTGATATCAATCGGCGTCTTGATCTCCGGGACGTTCTTCTCAATGTACCGCTCCAGCGCCGCCTGGTCAATCGGATGCCTCACGCGTCCCGCCATCTCGTCGACCGTCTGCGTGTGGAGCTTCCTGGGAGAGAGCTTCTGGTTGGGCCTGTGTCGTCACTGCTGCTCACTCGGCAACTGTATTCGCAATTCGTCGTAGGTAAGCAGGCACCAAAAATTGAAGACAGGGCGATGTCGCTGCTTAATGTAACAAACCCCAGAAGCGCAATTGGATGGCTGTTCGGACAAGAATCCCGGATACTGGGAACCTTCTTTTTTCCCCTGGTCCCCCTTTGCCGGCCGTTTTGCGTATCCAGCCTCGGCTCCTGCCCAGCAAAACACAGTGACAGATAGCTCTAGCGTGCGTTTGCTTATGCGAAAAGGGTCGGTCGGACGCGCCGCGGGTCGGATTTCCCAGGCCCAGAGACATGCCGAGGTCCACCGGCCTGGAGCTCCCACCGCGCTAAGCTAAAGAGCGGGGGAAAGCACCACTGACCACCGCCAGGGCCGCAGCAGGCAAGCTTCCCCCAGGTTTGGGAAGGGAGGGGAGAGGGGGGCGCCCAAGCCCACACACCGCACACCGACCACTGACTGGTGCTGACCGACCGCCAGCCAGACGACGGGACTCGTCGACGACAACGACGAGCCACGAGTGCGGAGGCGGGTCTCGATAGCCGTACCCGACCGAGCCCAGCGCCTTCGTGGGCAATCATTCGACGACCCAAAAAAAAGCCTCCTCCTGCTGGTCCCCGGTCCCTTGCGGCAACGCTCGTGGTCCAGCCTCAAGCCAATGCCGCTGCCCGTTTGTCGACCTTTTGAGTCAGGCCTGCGGCGTCGATTGGTTGTCGCGTCCACGAGGACAGACCTTACGGGCCGTCCCTTTTCGCGACGACAATGCATTCACTGGGGCAGACATGTGCGTCATTCGCTCTGCAAAGGTTCACGTCGAACAAGGTGATATCTGACATGTAAGTAATTCAATATAGTTTGTAGATTGCTCGCAAAGATCAAATAGTCGTAAAGCCCGTGTTTCTCTCCCAATTCCGAATCCGGCGACGGATTGCCAGGAAACCTCAGTCTATCCCCATCAAGCCATAGAAGCGTAAGGTCGAGAAGAAAAAAGGGGTAATAGTTTGAGAAGGCGTAAAAATATAATCTTCAATCATTCTTCTTTGTCCCGTACATCAGATGCGCCACTGCTGGCGCTTCATTTTTCGTTTTGGTTTTTCTTTTCTCTTCATTTCAACTCCATCCCGTTTGGTAACCAGACCATTCATTTGCCCCTGCAACCATCATCCCCAGAGAAAGTGAACAAAAGTCCCCATCCCAGCAAAAGATTGTGACATGAAGTGAAGAAAGAAAACAATCAAAAACAACAAGGAGAAGGGGGTAATCGAGTAAACACAAGAGGGGTATCCGTCGTTTCGAGTCGTCCATGCATTCTTCCCTCCCATTTCCCTTGCGGCCACCCGCCTGAACGGGTGCCATGCTGTTGCCAGTCGAGTATTTGTATTAGCCGAGAAAACGAAACGTGAAAAAAGGTGTTAAAAAAGAATGGCCCATGCCGCAATGGCATCGACCAGGCCTGGCAGCCAGAGGGCAACGAGAGTCCTGTGTACCGGCCCGAATGCTGCATTTAAAGACGTCCATGGAACACTCCAACCCCTTGTAAACACACCGCGGAACCGTCTTCCATCGGACTCCCGCCGCCAATATAATCCAATTTCGGAAAGAGTAGAGATGGCTGCAAGACGTATCTGTAGGCTGTCGTGACTTCGTGATCGGAATGCTCGACAAAAGAAGATCGAATCGGCGGCGGCGGAGCTCAAGACTCCTCCTCCTCCTCATCTTCCTCTTCAGGACTCTCAGATGCCGTCTTGGGCTTCTTGTTGGAGTCACCGTCGTCGGCCTCGGACTTCCTCTTTGACCCGGCCTTGGGGCTAGAGTCGTCCTTGGGCGCATCGGTGCCAGAAGCCTTGTCACGCTCGATAGCGGCGACCTCCTCGGCTGTCAGGAAACGTCCTCCGGGTCCACGGGGTCTGCGCATGGCGTGGTTGTGTCTCGACTCGTGGAGATACGGCTTACGACCCTTACTGGTGAGCCTGAGCTGCTCCTCGAGCTTTTGGCGTGCAACGCGACGCTTGAGGATGCGGTGGAATTGCTTAGCGTTGACGTAGAGGGGAGATTCCTCAACGCCGCCGGCGGGCATCTCGGGGGACTGCGGGTGCTGCATGGCCTGGGCCTGGGACATCTGCGGTGGGGCAACGCCGGGGCGCGCGCCGACGTGGTTCATCATTCCCTGTGCCGGGACGCCGGGGCTAGTGACCTGGCTGAGGCGTCGCTGACCACCGGGCAGCTGCGAAACGTTGTTCATCTGGGTCGGCGATCTAGGATCGCGGTTGGCCTCCTTTTTCGGTCCGCCCATTCGTGGTGAGGTTTGGGGCAAGCTAGGATCCGACATGTTGTAGGTGTAGTTCGTTCCCGATGCCGCTGCGGTCGCCGCCATGGCGGCGGCCTGGATCTGGGGCATGGCATAGTGCATGCCCTGCTGAGGGACGTTGTACTGTGGCTGGTACATGTTGTGTCCCTGTGCTTGGGTGGGTGACTGTTGCTGGGTAGACAAAATAGGTGACGTCTGTACGCCGTGAGGAGAGGTGATGTTGCCGGAGGTGGAGTTGTTCGTGTATCCCGAGTGCGCGTTCTGTGGTTGTTGTGGGTATTGCGCGTATTCCATCATACTGGGAATAAGCCTGTTCCGAGAGTGGTCGAGCTGCGATGAAGCTGGTTGTCTTCGTCGCGATGTGCTCAGAACCAATGAGAAGCCGAGCAGGAGGATCTAGCTTGGCGACAGTTTCTGGCGTAGTGGTTGTAATAGCGTGACCGCGGTCGAGAAAATTGGTTTCACGGGTATGGGTCGCGAGCGACGAATGAGTTGCGACGAAAGCTGCCTTTTTGATGAAAATTGAGCCTTAAAATGCTGGAAATGGCCCGTCTGCTTGGGTAGAGTTGGGCACACGCGTTGGGAGCGGGCGGTGGCCTAGGGTACTCTGCCAGTGTGCTGGGAGAGGAGGGGCTCAATCTATTGGCGATGCGTGGATGAGCTGGCAGTGGTGCGCGACGCAAGTGGCCGACCACGGCATATGCAGGCTGATGTAGTCGCGGGGCGGACGCTGGGTGGGTGGCTGAGCCTGGAGTGAGAATGACAGCCACGTGAGTGACGAAGGGTGCTGCTGCCGTGCAAGACGAGGCGGAGAGTCGAGGCGGCGGGCGGGATGTGTTTTTGTCGCTACCCGTTTAAGGGTTCTCTGAAGTGGTCCAGTCCGGGTTGACAAGAAGCTGGTCCTGGTCTTGGTCGATTTTGGCCTACCAGCTGCAATGCGGGAAGCGGGTAGTTTTGGACGAAACAGAACGGTCGGTGCCTTGTTTCCCCAGAAAAAGAGGCCGTTTGATTTTATTCCACTTCACGAGTGAGATCTGTCCAACCATGAATGTTAGCTGCTTCTGTCCTCTCCAGGGTATTTGAGCCAATGCTCGGAATGATGCGACAAGAGATTGGTGGGGTGCTGCTCCTTGCTCCTGGCTCCTGTCCAGTTCTTCTGCTCGCGCCTCGGGCCACCACTTGATGCGCTGGCAGACCTCGCATGCATGACGGAATATGCAGAGACAAGGCCCACCATGCCAACCAGCCCGGCAACACCTCCCCCTGCTGCGGTAGTGGTGGCGGCGCGAAGCCAGAACGCAGTCCAAGCTGCTGTGACAGTGCCCGTGCTTTGCGCCTCTTGAGGGGAAGGGCGTGTTTGTCCAGGCGCTGTCCTGAGTGTCTTGTGTCGCTGCCACCCGCCAGACTCCAGACTGGGCTCACTAAGCGCTTCCCCAAGAACGTACGTGCATCCCGCTGAGGCTGCAGTTGGGGTGGTTGGTAGGGGGTCCCTTCCAGTGGTGCCGCCGCCGCATCATTCTCACCTTGCCTCGCACGCATGCCAACCGAGAGAGGGGGTGCTTCCAGAAGGCATAGAAGGCTTGGTAATGCGGGCGTGCGTCCAGCCAACATACAATGGGAATAATGGCAGCGACAGACAGCAGCAGAAGGTAACGTCAGAGGACGAAATGGTGAAATCGGCGGGGTGTCGCCGTCGCCGATGACCGTAGGTGACGGGCAGAAACAGAGACAGGTTGACGTGGACAAGGAGTGGAGGAGGGGGGGCACCGAGGATGGATGGTTACACCTCGGGGGGAACGGGAGGCCGTACAGATGCTGTGAAGGGCGGTGACAATGCGACACACAAGAAAGTACAATAAACGTACCGATGAAGTTGGAGATGCAATGCGGCGAGAGTGTGAGAGTGCGGGCGAGCTTGTGGAATCGCCGATGTGTGCGTGTAAAATGCCGTAAGGGAGGGGATTATGCGCCCTGCTCCAGTCAGTAAGCATGCTCTTGGTGCCGGTTTCAGAGGACGCAGAACGCGACGTGTAAGAGAGCGGAGGAAAGAAGAAAATAAAAAACAAAAAAGTGAAGTCCGACAGGTGCCCACGCTACCACCAGCAAGGTGTGTCGTCAAAGTTCAACGTCGAGATTGGTGCCGACACAACGGGTGCCAAGCGCCAAAACCGACAGAGAAGCCAGACCCTGAGGCAAGGTAGCGTGCAACGATGGGCAAATGACGGAGCGGGAAGCCAAAAGTGAAGACGTGACGGCGCCCGTGTTCAGGACCGGCGACAAGGAAGCGCGCGAGCGGGCAAGGCTGGAGAGGAGGGGCGCCAGACGACTTGTGTCGAAGGGCATGCGAAACGTACCTGGTTGGCTGGATTTTTTATTGGCTTTTGGGGGGGATTTTGGGGAATGGCTCCCGGTCTAAGTCGAGGCGAAGCTTTCTGATAGGCTTTTGACTCGAGTGTCACGAAATGGGCTTGAGATCGCCTGCAAAAAAGCTTTGGCGCGTGCGTTTGCTTTGCCGTTGCGGGAAGGGCGAGAGGTGTGCGACGCGGTTGGTCTGTCGCGATGCGATGCGGTGCCGTGTGCGGAGCGGAGCGTTGCTGCTGCTGCTACTGCTTGCTCTGCTGCGAGTTCGACAGGCAGGACAGGAAACAGACAGGAAGATGCTGTTTTCCGCAGGTCCAAGGCGTCACCTGATGGGCTGCTTGGGCCAATAGACAGGTGCAAAAAAGGCGATGGCGACGATGATAGGTTTGCTGGTAGTTCCCAGTCGCGAATCGAGAGAATCCACGAGTGTCTGGTAGGTAGGGAAAGCGCGCAGGCGATAGGAAGTGTCCAGTGCGAGCGACGAATGGTTGTCCAATGTCAGGGCGGGAAGGACGTTGACGTTGGAGAAAGTGCGCGGCGGTTGTGAGTGGTCGCAAGAAAAAGGCGAGCTGATTTGCTGGGTTTTGTGGGAGGGCGGGTTTTTTCTGGCTTTTTTGCCTCGTTGGATTCGCTGGATCCTTTTGCAGGCGAACCGGGGCACTCTCTGCACTTTGTACGCCTGTTTCGGAGGGCGGAGGAAGAAAAAAAAAAATAAGTGCGTGGAGCTTGTGGCGTCGGCGGTAAATGGACTACTTGCTGGGATCCGGGAACCTGTGAGCCTTAGGTGCTAAGGCTACGCCGCTACGGTTGTCGGTGGTGGTGGTGGTGGTGCTGTGCTGCTTGCTGCTGCTGCTGCCTTAGGATACGGGAGAGTCAAGCTCCCCCAAGTGGATTGCGACCGTGGTGGACTGTGGTGTGGACTTGGTTGTTGGAAAAGAGAGGGGGATGGGGCCCAATGTCCAAGGACTTGCGTGGATGTGGACGTGGATGTGGATGGGTGGGAAAGAACCGGGACAGGAGGGGAGGGGTGTTTGCTGACGTTGACGTCGCAGTGAAGGGGGGGGGGAGGAGGAGAGGAACAGGCAGAGAAAGACAGAGGGCCGTGAGAATAGCCGCAAGTGCACCTATCACAGTACACCCCCTCTTTTCTTGGCGTGCGAGGCCGTCGTGTGTGGTGACTTGGGGACCCTGGGGCGCTGAGAGCTCTTGCCCAACAATCAGAGGGCAGGCTGTAGTCGAGACAGGAAGGAAGCAGGTAGGCACGGCACACCTTCCAGGTAGGTGCGGATAGGTACGGTGCCTTAGGCAAGAAGGCAGCCCGAGACCAAAGCAGGAAGGGAAGCAGGCAGGCAGGCGGCGGGACGGCAGGACCGGAATCTGTTGTTTTTCTTGAGATTCTGCTTGCTGCTCCTCCTGGCAGTGCCGGCTGAGCTGAATTCTGTCTTTTTGCGATATCTTTCCCGTCCAAGGTAGCGGTGTGTGTACGTGTGTGTCCTCAAGGCGTCAAGGTGCGTGTGCGTAGCTTCGGCGCTGCACTGCTGACGGCGGGCTTGCTGCTGCTGCTGCTGCTGCTGCTGCTGTGGGCTCACGCGCTATGTCGTGTTTCTCCTCCACACTATCACGACAACGTCTTTCTTTATTCTTTCCGCGCGCGTCTTCGCAGATATCTCACACCCGCGATGCAAGATCGATAAAGTGCGAAATGCGGAGCGGATAGCTTTCGCTCTTGATTGGCGATTGATTCGATATGATGTTGAATGTCCAATCGAATGAAAGCAGCCTCGACGTCCCTGGTGTCTGTTTCGAAAAACCAGCTGAGGGCCGAATCTGATTGAGCGGTTCGACCTGGCCTGTCTCTGCTCTCTTTTTTTTCTGCCCTCGCGTCCGACACGTTTGGTGGGCCGGAAGAGATTGATTGGTTGTGGGAGTGAGGAGGTGAAGGACGAGGGGAGAATTCTGAGCGTTGATTTGAGGGGCGGGGCCATTAACCCTTTAACCTCTCTGACTGGCTGAATCAGCGGGTCCAAGTGGGCCCTGTCCTGTGGCTGGCGACGCGTTCGCCGCTTCTGATTTGCTGTCATGACGTGATCTCTACTTTTTGTACGATGTAGCCACCCCTCTGGGCGTGCGCGCGCATGGCATGCAACTGTGACTTCCTCGCCTTGGGTGGAGAGGTTGCCTGCCAATTGTCCAGTCACCTCCAGCGCTCCTTCACTTTCGTCCCTAAGATGCGGATGCGCGCCCAACAACCGCTATCCATCATTCATAACGCACTTGCACATCAACTTCATCTGCCTGGCTACTCTATCTGAGTGTCCAGCACTTGGAAATTCTTTGGTAATCGACTCCGCCGTTCATCCTGAAATATTTCCCACCTTTTGACAGCTTATTTTCCCCGAGCGGTTTCTAGACCGTCCGTCCTGTCAACCTCTCAAATTCTGCGCCCAGGTCTCGACTTTTCCGCATGGGGCAAGGTCTCCATCTGCCACGTTACTTCAGCATTTCCCTCTCTTAAAGCAAGGCTGCACGCACCAACAGTGAAGACGCGAAAACATGAGACGAGAAGAGACTCATCACACTGCTGCTCAATGCCTACCCCGACCGACCACCCTGCCACTGCCTGATGGCTACCCGGACCATCACCACCGGAGGCGCGGAGGCTAGGTACCGTATGTACGGAGTACCTACGCTGACCCGACCTGGCCTGACCCAAGCTCCAACACACGCGCAAGCAAGCTGGATCGAAGAGCTCCCCTGAGCTGCCTGAGCTCGTGTCTATCCTTTACAGCACAGCACCTAGCCCTCAGGCTGCCTCAGACTTTCTCCGTCCCTCCTGTTTCTCAACGCCTAGCATCTGGTTTCATGGCCTGTCTGCTGTATGCGAGCTGGTGACGCCACAAATAAGTCGGTCAGCTTCGGCACACAAGCGAAGACCTGATCCGACTTCCAACTGCCCGAGGAATGAGGTCGATCGACAGATTCGTGAGCTGGCACTTCAGCAAGGGCTAATTTTAGCGACCGACTCACTCCAAGCTACCGACTGCTTTCGACTCTGCCTCGTTTTTGCCATCTATCGCCGTGACGGAAGTGGGACACACGGACAGTGCGGAGAAGCCATGGGAAAAAAGAAGAGGCGGTGACCACTCCTCTTTTCGCCGGCCGGTCGTGCTAGCCTCCCTCGGCTGTTGGCTCTGGAACGGTGAGGGGCAAAAGTCAAGTTCACGAGAGGCTGGGGATGGGAATACGACGAGCTGTTCCGATGGACATTTGTTTGTCACTCTGCCCGCAAGGGACGCAGAAGAACGCACTCTGGATATAAGAGGCCTCTGAAAACAAACCATGGACCCAACGGCCGTCAATAGGCCAGCTCCTGTGAGAGGGCAAAGCGAGCGCGATGCTTCGACTGGGGAATCAAGCCTATCCAACGCCAATATTTGGCTCTGTTGGCTCGCTTCTCACAATTCACTCCCCAATGTCCCAATCGCTCAGGGCACGCACTGTCGATCTCTGGACTGCCACTGGCAAAGTTCCCCCGGCTCCCGCCTGTGCGGCTAGGCCTCCCCTGCAAGAGTCACAGTCTTGAATCTCCGGGCTTTTTCTGGCCCAGCTCCGTCCGCGCCGCACCACGCTTTTCTTCTTCCATTGAAGGCCCACTCTCAGCCACTCGGCCCCACGTGACACACACCGCATTAATTCTCTGACGAAATTCTTTCGACTTCTGAGGCAGCATTACCCTGGGCTGAAATCCAGGTACATGTACATGTGCCTTTGGCATGAGAACTCTTCAGTCTTCCCGCCGCCAGCCAGGCGGGGAACATGGGAGTGACACTCTCGAGGGAGCAGGTTGGCTCGGTTGGGCTGCTCATCTCCTCGTACATTGGCATCGCCAGCAATACGTACTCTTTCGGTTTCTGTAGGGCATTTGATCCTTGGTACCGTACCCAAGGCACCAAGCACAATGACGCTGGATCGCGCTCTGCACAGACCACTATGGATGACTCCTCGACAGTCCACGGCATTACACGCCAAACGAGGTATTCTATCCAGCAAAGCAAGGCAGACCAAGAGCCCCAAGCAAGCTGGACACTGACTCTGTCTCCCAGAGAGTCGGTGTGACGGGATGGATGATGGCAAAGGGACCCAGCAGACAAGACGGGCGCGTCCGCCGTGGTTTTGTTCGTACTGCAGCCGTTCGACCGTGTCCCTCCGAGGTCTCGGAGTCGCAAAACCTGCATCCGGCCGCTCGGAGATAGCTACTTACAGAAATATGACTGCAGGAAAGTACCGCCGTACATGCAGTTGGTGTATCAGAGGCTTGGGCTGTCTCACGAGCTGACAATCGTGGTGGGGTTTGCCGGGTTCGTCGGTCGTCGCACCCGCGCAGCGCAGCGCGTGGGGAGACATCTGCTCACTGCAGGTCTCTTGCCGTGCTTGCACTTGACTCTGAAGAAGTCAGGTGAGCACGGGGACCGAGAGAAACCCGGTTTGAGTCTTGAGAGTTGCAGTCACGAGCGTCCATATCTCTCGGGTTGCTGATAGCCACAGAAGGAGCCTCTGCCTGGCTCACCTCACACCCTGACACGAATATGCGGCGGTGGACGCGACACACAAACGATTGGATGAGAATTCGCCTCGTATGAATTATCTGAGTGGTTGGAGACGCGGCATTTCTGCCGCTGCCTAGTGGTCAGCTGCCTGCTTTTTCCCTGATTCGAGTGGGTGGGAGGGCGTCACGCCTCTCTGAGGGGAGCCACACGGACGCATGCACTGGGCCCGTCTGAGGACGAGGTAAAGAGGGAGATTGCCCGGCATCTGACCATTGGAAGTTATTGTTGCTGCGGATCGCCAAATCAACAACGCCTGGTGTGATGAGACGGGCTGATAGCCATTCAGTCAGCCTTTACGAGATGCCGAGCCTCCTTGAGCGTCGACTTCTTTACACTCCGCGTGTTGCTCCAACACCACCCATGTCATCCCTCATCTCCAGTGCTGTTCCAGGCCCTTCCGGGAACCAGACAGACGTCACAGCGGTCGATACTCTGGAACACGGGCTTTGACGCGGCTCACTTCTCATGTCGCCCTCATCATCAAATCACCCGGGCGGCGGTTAATGCGAGCAGAAATATCACCTGTCGTTTTGATTATCCAGAGCAGCATTTTCCGCATGGAGATTTGTTGTGTTTACTTTTGGATATCTGCCCGAATGCCCAATCCTTCGTCGGCCAGAATCCCGTCAGCCAGCGCGCCTGCCAAGTCTGCCTGATCTGACAACGCGGGAAGGGAAGAGCGATCTACGGCACATGAAGCTGGACGCCCAAGCCAGTGTGAGCCTCCCGGCAGGACGCGTTTTGATCGCCAGAGTCATCAGACGAAAAGACACGCATGCAGGGCAGACAAGTCGATGCACCTCTGGGCCTCAAATGCCAATTTTGTAGCCCAGCGAACGCCCGTCCCAGCCGTTGCCTTCACAAGCTCCCGCAGAGGCGCACGCCACAGAGCCTGTCCCGCACTGAGGAGGAGGCATGGACATGTCCCGCCAGAGCTATTTTCTCGCATCGGTCGCGCGCGTGCGCGCCCCCCGTCGCTCCCACAAGCCGTGTGACTTGATCCTCGTCCTTCATTCCCGCGTTCTTGCCTTTTTGGGTGGGGAACCTAACGATAATGAGACGTACAGTTCGCGAGACGCGGCATGCGTCTTTATTTTGAGATCGTCGTCTTCAGGGACGACTTCAATCACCCGTGGAAGAGATAATTCCACTTTCCAGGGAACGGCCGAGCATGGAGTCGCGTAGAGTTGCTTGCTCCTCGACGACTGCCGTCCCCTGTCGTTCGCGAATCGCAGAGGAGGGGGTTAACCTAGGTTGCAGCTTTGTCGCGACGAATGAGAGGGCGGTGCTGTACTTCTGGTTTCCTATTCGGCCACACTGCTCGAAGCTTGTTGGATCATCGTCGCAAACCTGCCTTTTCACAGTCGCATTCGGAGCACGGCGACTGTCGAGGCGAGCCGGTCTCCGGAGACCGCGCAGAATATTGACAATATCGCAGGGTTTCTTTGCGAGGCGCTGCACGCGATGCTAGGTTTGGTGATTGGCATTTGAGTCCCTGGATGATGAATTACCACCGGTCGTCACAGCGGATAGAACGTGTCTAACGCGTCTTGTTCTGACTCTCGTCATTTCAAGGGCAATGCGCCACCTCGTCCGGACCCACGAGCTGCACAAACAGACAAAGTAGATGCTCAGTATTTCGAGATGCCTCGTCAATGATGCAAAACATGGTCGTCCGATCCCTGGATGTTCCTGGCGCTTAGTAGAACCATGCGCGCGGCCGCCGTCGACAATCCTATTGTTGTTCATTGGTGGTGAAGTTAGTTAGTCCTGTCAGCCTGTCATCACGACCCCCTCCGCCCCTCCGCGGGAAGGATTCAGTGACGGCGGCGGCGGCGCAGCCCGCGCCCGCCGCCCGCGCGCCGTCTATTCTCGGGAAACCTATCGTTGGGCCGTGTTTGGGTGAACGGCGTCAGCGCTTGCGGTGGGTTTTAGCATTTTTGAGAGGGTGGGAGGGGGGAAGATGCATGATGTTTCGGTCACGGGATCCATTCTGGTTTGATGTGTGAGGTTTCCTTTCGTTGGTGGGTGTTCTCATGTGATCTGGTGTTGGTGCGAGACGCGACTTCGCTCCACCGCCCTCGAAAACATCACTTTCTCTCGTGTCGAGATTTCCAACCCAAAAGGGGTAGCGGGGATCAAACAGAAGCAAGAGCTGAATGAATGACGGCTTTCCTGTGTCGATGCAGCGTGACATGATGCAAAAAGCGCGGGCAGAAAATGGCAAAAACGCAAAAATGTTCCGAAACCGAGAATCGAACTCGGGGCTATGCCTAACCTCGCACCAGGGATGAGAGGGCATCATGTTGGCCACTACACCATATCGGATGTTGATGGAGGAACGAGCAGGGGAAGTTGCATATGACTCGATGGGCGTGGGAGGCGGGCCCGCTGTGGGTTGTGGAGTTTGGCTTGCGGGATGTTGCTTGTGAGGGTGATGGGGTTGGCCACACAGGTCTGCTCCTGAGTGGTTGGGTATTCTTTATGGTGCTTTGTGTTGACGTGCTGAAACTTGAGGGGCAGAATCTAGATGTTTGCTTCTCAGTGGAAGAGTTTGCGTGAGATCCATGGATGGCAGTATGATATTTATTTTGGATCCTAAAGAACGGATTGATTTCGGGAGTTGTTTATTCTTATCTCTAGTCTGAATCAAGACTTTGCACAACGTCTGGTTTGTCCTTAGTTATAGCTAAGCAAATAGCTGTGGCATGTCATTCATGAAATGACTCAAGCTTCGCGCCAGGCTCATTAGACGAGCAGCAGAACCAAATCTCCATCTGCTGAAAACCCGTTCAACAACACACGTCTTCGTGCTTGTTCCAGTATATGCGCTGACTTATAACATCATCTCTCACTTCCCCCAACGATTCCTCTAACCTCTGCACGTTCTCAAGCCTCAACCAATTTATGCTCTCTAGGCCTCAACCTCACCAAAAGCGGCCCCTTATCATACACATTGAACGCCCGCTGGCCCGCGACCCAGTCGTCCTGGCCGGGCTCGAGCGCGACGTCGAAGTTCCAGAGGAAGCGCGCCACGACGAGCCGCATCTCCGCGTAGGCGAGATTCTTGCCGATGCAGTCGCGCGGGCCGGCCGCGAAGGGGCGGAAGGAGGCCTTGTTGTCGCTGGCGTAGCGGGCCTCGTGGAGGGGGTGCGCCTCGGGCAGGAAGCGCTGCGGCTTGAAGGCGTCCGGGTCGGTGAAGTTGCGGGGGGAGTGGTGGGTTGCCCATTGGTAGACGGAGATGTATGTCTGTGAAAGTAGAGTCAGCGAGGGATTGTTCGTTGTTTCTGGGAGATAATCCAGTGGGAACTTACGCCCTTGGGCACGAAGCGGCCGTCGATGTAGTCGCCGGGCGAAATACGGGGAGGCGTCTCGGCGGCCGGGGGGTAGATTCGCAGAGTCTCCTCGAGGCAGGCATGTAGGTACTGCAGACGTGCCGTGGACTTCATGTCGATCTCGTCCTCGCTGGTAAACGCGTTGCGGATTTCTTCCGTCAGGAAACGGTACACCTCAGGCGTGCGCGTCAGATGGAAAGTAAGGCCGCAGAGCGCGGTGGCCGTCGTCTCGCTGCCAGCGATAATAAGCGCCCGCGCGTTGACGTGGATCTCCTCATGGTTCATGCCCTTCCCGTCCTTGTTGTTGCGGAGGATGTACGTCATGAAGTCCTTGCGCGTGTCGGAGCCAAGGGCGAGCCTCTTGTCCGTCTTCTCGCGCGCCAGGTTGTCCGACTCGATCTTCTTCTCGATGTCCTTCTTGTCGATCATGAAGAAGAGCAGCGGGCGCAGGACGGGGTACTGCGAGAGGAAGTTGAGCTTGGCGCCGGCCTTGATGGTCTGGAACAGCATCGCGACCCAGGGGTGGTAGTTGCTCTTCTCGAGGGAGTAGAAGGGGTCGCCGAAGGCGAGTTCGCCGATGACGTCGAAGGTGAAGTAGTTGAACCAGCGCGTCATGTCGAGGACGTTGCCCCCGCGCGCCTGCTCGCCGAGGCGGGCGATGAGCAGGTCGACGTAGTGCTTGATGAAGCCCTCCTGCTCGGTCAGGGCGCCCTCGGAGAAGGCGTGCGCCATGAGGCGGCGCTGGCGGCGGTGGTCATCGCGGTAGGCTGGGAAGATGCCGATGCGGCCGGGCAGGCCGTAGGCCTCGATCGTCTTTTCGTACTCGGGTTGATGGGGCCGTCTGGAGAAGACCTCGGACCAGGCGAGGGAGCCGTCGACGGCGAGACGGTTGGGAGAGATGCGGACGATGGGGCCGTACTTTTCGTGGAGTTTGACGGTGTCTTTTGTGAAGGTGCCCAAGAGCATGTTCTGCGTGAGGAAGGGGAGGTGGGATGCGGCGTAGAGTTTGGGGCCGGGGAAGCTGGCGAGGGGGTGGAAGAAGAGCCTATAGATGACGATGCCGACTCTGTAGACCACGCCCTGTTGAAGTTGGGGTTAGTGTTTGGAAACTAGTTGTACGACATCAGACTTGCAGCAGTGACGAGGAATAAGATGGCCGACCCAAGAGTCAAATTTGACGTGACTGCATCTTTCAAAGCTGGCATTGTGGCGGTTGACAGACTCGTGTATGAGTTCGTCAGAAGATTGAATGACAGGACGAACACAGAGCCTGGAAAGCCAGCAGTTCTCCCTTGGACTTAAAGAGTCTCGTCACAAGCAAGATCTATCGATCTCCTCAACCCCTGCTAGACGAACTCCCGCCATGCAATGGCCCGAGCCGTCGACGACTGCCGTGCCGGACGATAGCCAAATGCCCGTGTCCGAACGTAGCTGCAGCTTTGATACAACCTCAGGTACCACTCCGCAATAGCTCCGCAACAAGTCCGCAAAGGTTTATGCATCGGACTTTGAATCCGCTGGATATAGAGCGTTGATCGGCTTTTCGGCTTTTCAAGCCCCACCTCCACCTGCCGGGGCCGGGTTGCTTTCACCGGGGCACGACGCAACGGCATGCGTCTAGGCTCCGACTGGATACGAACACGGAGGTGATGGGGGGCGTTGACTCGTGTGCTGCAGGTACGGAGTTCGGAGTCGAGCCCTTACAACATGCTCAGCATTAGCTGGAGACGCATGTTGTGTGCAGAATGATCTTGCACCTTTGGAATGCAAAGCTAGTGAGTCGGGGGAAACGCCCCGAGAAGCATGTCAAGTTATGGTTGCTTTATTGATTAACTTGTGAATGTCTTCTCGAAATACATCCCGCTATGCCTAGGCCGCGCACAATCTACGCGTTCATCTGTACATCTTCGTCGTAGCTAAAGCCCAGTCACGTTCGAGTACGCTGCTTGCCTCAGATAAAAGCGCAGCCAAAAGACGCAAGTGAGAAACCGACACCTGCTACCGGATGAATTGCGGAAATAGCACCGGCCATGGCGCCACCGATACCAGCGATACCGGCACAGATGTCGCCGTCAAGGCTGTCCGTCTCGGGGTGAGAGAATCCGACATTGAGGAAGGATTTGAAGCCCGTCTTCTCGTCTTCATACCGAACATTGACATGGTCGGTGGCTTGCCATTGCTCAGCGTAGAATTTGTCCTTGTCTACTCCTCTCGTAAATTGATCAGTCACGGCTCTAGATTACCATAGCAGGGGTAGAGAAGATTGAAGTCCGAGTGGGGATGAACTTACGGATACAGCCGTTTTTAGTCTGCTGGCAGGGCTTGGTATAGTAAGGAACGTCCTGTTCCAGCTTGTGCTTTCCCTCGTCAAACATCTTTCTCATTACTGTTTTCGCCATCTCGACAAGATGAGCTTTATCGCCAGGTTCTCCGGCGCTAGCGAAGCTCCCTTCAACAGTGAGAACCATCTCCGTCTCTTGGCCCATATTACCAGCGCCGATGCGCATAGTCTTAGCCTTGACAGGCTCTCCTGGCTTGCAACTCAACTCCCCACACTGCTCGAGAATAGCGTTGAGAGTAGCTGAGGGCAAGGCGGTCCCATAGAGAATCAACTCGTTGCCGACCTCAACCTTGACGTTACCGCCCTTGTCACTCTTCCAAGTCTCGCCGTCGCGAGTTTGCAGAGTCGCAGGATAGGCGATAGCGGGGACGGCCGCGGTCGCAAGCGCGATGGCAATGGTAGCAGCGGAGGTTTTCATAGTGATGAAGGGGTGTGCAAGAGGGTTTGGGAAGCAGATGAGAAACTGGATGAGATAAGTAGGAAGTGTTGATGATTAAGAAAACGATGGCGTTTGTGATGAGGATGAGAGAGAGAACCGTATTATACGCGGCATACCGCCCTCATTTTATACGCAAAAAGTCTTTCCAAAGCTCTCAACTGCCTAACATTCATACTGTTCCTCCTTTCTCACTCGTGTCTCTATTTTCAGCATCTTTCATCTCTTAGAGGAACAGGTAGGCCTGGCGAGTGCTGAAGTTTGATTTAGGCAGTTGAAACTGGGTCGTCATTCGGGCGCTCCCGCTGGCTCGCCTAATGAGCCACAGGGCTGAGGTTCTTGGCTACTATGTAAGGGACACATAAAATAGCGTTTGATCTTGGATTTTGGGGACGCAAGCAATTCTCGTGGTCTTCATCATGCTGCGGCTTAGCTCAGCTCGGAAAACAAGTCCTGATGCCAGGCAGCAGTATGGTGCCATTGTCTTATGCCAAGACTTGGCGAACTTGCGCAGGACCGGCTGTGCTCCTGTGCCTCATGATCGATTGTCGGCGGTTATTCAATCGCAGGTCTCTATTTTGAGCCTAATGAAACGGCTCTAATCAAGTGGATTTAAGAAAAGTGTCCACGTTCTTGATGATTCAACCCAGAAACATACAGGATTCAGTATTCACCAGGGGGAAAGACATACATAACGAGGAAAGGAATGCTTTTTGTCCGCACAAACCCAATGCACTCATCGCCCGCAAAAATCCTGAATTGCGTCCTCGACTCCCTCATCATTCGGATCTCCAGCAGAAATTCTGAGCGAATTTTTCACATCCTCTATAGTCGTCTTCCCAGCCGCGTCCCGCGAGCGACATAAAAGCGTTGCAACCCGTAGAACGTTCTTGATGCGTCGTCCATCCATTGGGAGGCTTCCAAGCTTTGCAAACTCTTCTTGAGAGATAGCATGACCATCTTTCTCGGCAAGATAAGACCAAATCAGAGTCCTCTGGGGAGCGCCAGGCTTGTCGAACTCGAGACGAACGTGGATTCTAGAGAAGAAGGCAGTGTCGAAATCTTCAATTCTGTTGGTTGTAAGAAACATAATTCCAGATTGATACTCCAACATTCGAAGAAGAACTATGAAATCAAGTCAGTCATTTCTTCTCGGCTGAAAGGCCAGACCAAGGTTGGACGAACTAGACACGAGAGCATTCCGCTCGATGTTGTCTTCGCTGCGCTGCGCCATGAATGTGTCCGCTTCATCAAAAAGCAAAATAGCACCCCACCGCTGCATGCGTTTGAATACGCGACTCAAGTTAGACTCAATATCCCACATCCTGAGTCCAAGATCTCCACCGGATGTATAATAGACTGGGCACTGCAAACTTTCTGCTATGACTTCTGCCAATTATTCAGCTTGCGACGTCTGGACAACGAAGCTAGGTCGGTAAGCTTACCCGCTGTCATGGTTTTCCCACTTCCTGGAGGCCCGTGTAGGAGTAAAACAAGACCTCTTCCCTTCCCAGCTACAATGTCGTCAAACAAGCTTGTTCCCAGCCGATGCTCTCGCACCAGCCTCCATACGGCATCTTTACGCCGGGGTTCCAGGTGCAGACTGTCAAAGGCCTGTTCATTCCAACGAATTTGCCCAATATGACTAATGAGAAAGAACCCCCAGGACCGATGTGCCAGTGAGAACCCCGGAATAATTGAAGGGAGGGAAGCAAGATCCATTTCAGTCAATTTTTCAAAAGGCATTCCTGTGAATTCCTCCACTTCTTGGGTCACATTGCACAATGACGGAAGATTTGGGTGGCCCGGTGGTGACCTTGACCAGGATACCGGTCGCTGACGTCGAGTCTCATCTCGGTACCCAGGAAATTCTTCCAAAAATTGAGGTGAATCGATCAGTACCCTGCCGGCAGACTAAAGATAATTAGACTTGTTTGACGACGGGGAATCGCCCTGATGGTAGATTTATGCTTGCCTCAGACGTGGGGGGACCAAGAAACATGTCTAGAAGCGCCGAAGAACTGTTCTCGTGGGTGGCGCCGGAGCGACCCCTGGTATCATTGCCGCGAACCTCCCAAACAGGCCCGCGGTAGTAGATATGAGAGCCAAAGATCTTTTGGGTCAAAGGAGCCCCGGAACCGCCTAAACACAGCCTGGAGTATTCCGATCCCCTGACCTTCAAAGAATCGAGCAGAATGTGAGGATCTGAGTGATACTTGATAGGGTATACAGGAAGTTCCGTGATGTTCTTCGTGCCGATGAAGTGACTTAGTTTAATGGTTGTGTTCACAGAACCAAAAACAGTGCCGTTAAACCCGGTATACTTCAGTCTGAGCTCGAGTTCCAGATTCTTCTCCTCCTTATTAGGATCTTTGATAAAATGACAGCTGTGAAGCAGGGCAATCCAGTGCGTTGGTAAATGTGAAAGATAGCGGTTGGTCAGAACAACTGAGTGACCGGGAGCAAAGATGAATGACAGCAGGTCGAATGTAATCAACCCATTGGGCTCCAAAGCTTGTAGATCAGTGATGGTACGGGCCATGTAATCCTCCCGGAACTTCTGCAGAAGCTGCAGCTGATCTCGCAGAGATTTATCCTTGGACGCATCAATTGCATCTTGAATCCGCCTTTGGCAATGATAGATCTCCACGTAGGGATCAGGAATGATGATGGGATCTTGATGTAGGTTGATATTGACGAGCCCTGTAGCAATTTCGATGAAAGCACTCCGCAGAGTACTGGACTGGATCTCGAGCTGCGATATCAAACGTTCTTCCATTTGCTTTTTTACGACTATGTGCCGCAAAACCAATGCAGCATCGCCGAAACGAGACTCTCTGCGCCTCTGCTGCTTGACGTTTTCGCCAGTCCGATAAACTGCTGCGATATCTCCCCATGGGTGATTCTCTTGAGTGACATCCTCTAGTTGGATTCGATATGGTCGTTCATTATCATCTTCAATTCCCAGACTTGAGTCAACCTGGTCTGAATGTTGATTGGGCTCAAGTTTAGACTTGTAAGTAGCAAAGAGGCGGTCGAAATCATTGTCCATGACGTTGTATAGTCAGACGAGCTGTATCAATAGAAGCTCCAAGCTTGAACGTTGGTATTTGAAGACTGGAATGTATTTCAGACAATGTTTGAGGGAACGCAAAGGTATTTGAGGGACCTGCTCATCTCGCGTAAGATCAATCGACTAATTAGCGCAAGTCTCCATGAGAACATGACGTTAGCACTTACAATAGGAAAGGTAATACCACTTCACAGCCTGATCTTTTCCGGCCGCTGGTCGAAGCAGGCTACCTTGGCATGCAGAGAGAAACTTGCCGAGAGACCGTAAACAACAAGCGACCGTCCAGTAAAACATGCTACATGCTCCTTGCACGCCTCGTGACACGTGTAGGTAGCCACCCTTGGTCTCACTGCATATTGAGGACAGGCGCTTCTCAAGCCAGCTCCGACCTAGACTGAATTTGTAAACGTCACTCCAGGATCACTCTTTACAGTCAAATACTCCAACTCTACCCCGTTCTCTAACCCTCTCAACCTTGCGTCCAATATCTTGGATCACCGAGTTACCATGACAGCTCTTCGAAAGCGCGCATCAATTCTCTCTGCCCTACCCAGTTCACGACCCTCAAATTCGAAGCGGTTGCCGGCAGTGACCATCAGCCAAGATCGTTGGAATAATTACAGCATTCCAGAGATTGATGTCGAGGCTGTTTGTCGCGCAGTGACTCTGCATAAAGCTTTCGAACTGCAATCAGGTTACACTATTCGAGATCTCCCTAAGTTCAGCGACCTTACTCCATATGGAGGTATCACGGAAGAGGCAGAGGATGAACTCTGTAAGCTGGAGGCCCACCGGTTGGTTGGAATCGCAAATTCAGACAGTCCAATCAGCCTACAAGGCAATGAGGACATGCTCGGACCAGCCGACGAGAATGGTTACTTCCGGCTCCATTGGTTGGGCCAACGTTTGGTTCAAGCTTTGCAGATTTGCGAGCACGATACAATACTGGTCAAGATGGAATATGTTGACTGGACATCCAGTCGAATGTCATCGTATGCGAATATACAGGCACGTCTGCTTTCGTACTTTGACCCTGCTACTGGGGATGAACGGTTTTCTGGATCCCCACTCCTCAAAGGAGAAAATTACGAACGCTGTCACCATGCGATGGTCAATTATCTCACAGCAGTACTTGTGAGGGTCATTCTTCAGAGCTTCCGAGGCAATCACTGGGTTAACAACATCATCGCGGTGATTGCACGAATCTCGGCAAAGTTAAAAGTGGTAGGACATGATCTTTCTGCAGCCACGGAGCAGACACTGCAAAATGGCAGCGAAGCTCGATCGCGAATCCATAGGCGAGAAGTAAAGAATGATCAATACTTGGCAGACAATCAAGGGTACGAAGTTGAGAAGGATACACATGTCCCGCGACATACCCCGAACCGCGTAGGGTACGCCAGCAAGTACTTCTTGGAGATGGACCTCATTCACAACGCCGTCATCGACATGCTTATCGATTCTCTTACTGCATTTGCTGTCAACAACCCCTTGGCGCCAGGTGTAGACGATTTCGAAAGCAGTACCGCACTGTATGAGTCTTTCGTCACTCCAGAGCAGATTTTAATCTGCCAACAGCGAGACGGTGGCATTGGTGCGGCAAGCGAAACAGGTGTTACCCGTGCATTCACCGCGGGTTTTCAGGTCTGTCGTCGAGTTTGGGAGACTCTTGAAAAACAGTCCACATCTCATACCGATACCAACTGGACATCTGTCAAGTGGACATGCTCTTTCGTGGATGATGGAGACAAAGTGCAGCTTCATGACCGACGGGGTGCGGTCAAATTGGGGTCGATGGCAAGAGTCATCACAGCAACCGTTCCTTATTCTATGATATCAGGCACTTTTTGCGCTTCCCTCCACACACTCATCGACGAAATTCTCTTCAGATTTGGCCAGGACACCCGATTCGCATTGAATCTCGTTGAGCAACCTAAAATAATATGCACTGCTATTCTACGAACCAGTCGGCACCAATCTCGGCGCCCAACTGCCAGAGATAACGACGATGCGTGTCCCGTCTCTGAAACTTCCTTACTCCAGAAGAGAGCAGTCGGCAATGTAGGTAACTCCTTTCAAACTCATTCACATGCTCGCACTACAAGCTGGGCTCCGTTGAACCGGAACAAGACGACTACACTGAGCGACCGAGAGCAAGCCAAGACATCTCTTGAAGCAGTAAAGAGCGAATACTTGAAATGGATCATTGACGATAATGCCATCATAATTTCCTGCAAATGGTATGCGTGGGGTTCTTTGATGGCTTGCGCCCTTCTGGTTCTTGGTGGTCTTGGAGTTGGCTTTACTGTGGGCGACAGAATCCACGCTGTTGATCCATTCAACATTAGTGTTTTTTGCTGGGTTCTTGCCGGATTCATCCTTCTTGTTGCAAAGGCGGTTCGCGTTGCAGACTGGTCCTGGAGTCATTTCCTCAGAGGACAGGTCACCTGCCGCTCAATTGAGGAGGTAGTGGCAGTCAGCGGCGTTGATGACCAACTCCTCATTGCAATCCTACTCAGATCCGACAGCCAACTCCATTTGCAAACTCGAGGCCCCTTCAATGTCATGTTTCTGCGACGAAGCTCCGATGTTCTGGGCGGGTTTTCCATCGACGTTCCGATCAAGATGACAACAGCTGTTGAGGGGGGTTTGATACCAATCAAAATACTCGCAGAATGGGGCATTGGATTGGTATTTCTCTCCGCGCGCTCCTGGATATCTTACAACGTTGTTTCTAACTCCAAATCATTTGGAGAATGCCCTGTTGCTCGGAACATTATGCATCCGGCGTGGTTGATGGATGGGAAGATTCCGTGCTACCGACTGAAATTGGAAGAGGTCTACATTCACCAGGTCTTAGGAGTGTTTGAGAAGGAGTGCTGTTTTTACTGATTGAATTGCATCGTATGAGTACTGGGTTTGCAGGCTCAGGCAATCATTAGCCATTTCAAAATCAAGTTCAACAACTGAGATCAAACCAATAAATTTAACTCTTCCGAACGCAACTTCGTAAGGCGAAAGGCCCCAGCTTCAGGACTAAATAGCTCCTATCAGGCTGTCTTTCCAAGTGACCCGCGCGGCACCGCCAACCCCAGATTCCGTTCCATTGGGTCTGGGGTCTCTTAGCCTAGACCAGGATTCCGTGACCAGGCCAACCCGGAGGTTCAACCGGCGAACGGGACTAATCAAAGCTTAAACAACGTCGGGGCTCCACCGACACCGCAAACGCCGGCTTTCTCGAGTTGTCAAGGTTTCCGTGTTAATTAAACCAATCTTATAGCACCAGGCGCCCGGTATGGCCGGAACGGCGAAGGCAACGTCGGCAACATTTGCACTCGAAGCGTCAACATCACGTCAAGGCGCGGCCTACGAGTCTCGGGGCGAGTATTCCCGCATTCGATATGTTTGCAAAATTTAATCAACCCCGGCACGGATCCGTCGGGCCCGTAGGTCACCGGGAATGATTATAAGAAGATGCGCTTCCCTGAGTGAAGCTTCATTTTTTAGGATTCCTCTGTAGATGTCTCTGAGGCATCATACGTTAACATATCCCTTCAAACATAATAATACCTAATCCAGTCTCTCTGACAGTCCACTCATTCCCAATCAATAGTCACTCTCTCAATTTACTATACTTTACACCAAGTCTCACGATGAGGATCTCCCGCATCGCCTCGCCCTGGGCGCTACTCCTACCCTCCGCCCTGGCAACCCCCTACGCCGTGGACGCAACTGAAGTTGATCTCGCCATCATCGGAGGCGGTTCCGCTGGTATCCATGCCGCGATCAACCTCAAGGACGCCGGCGCAAAAGTCGTCGTGATCGAAAAGAAGTCCCAGATCGGCGGCCACGCCGAGACCTACATTAACCCGCAGACCAAGGTCCCCGCCAACATCGGCGTCGTCGTCTTTGAGAACCGCGAGGTCGTGAGCAACTACTTCTCCCGCCTCAATGTCTCCACCGTCAACACAAACCCCCTCACCGCGCAGTCCGGCACCACCCATAGCTACGACTTCTCCCTCGGCATCCCGATCCCCGCGCAAAACGCATCGGCGACCGCGGCGCAGCAGCAGGCGCTCCAGGCCGCCGCGCAGGCGTATTCGACGAACATCCTGTCAAAGTACCCCTGGATCGACCAGGGCTTCCTCGTTCCGGACCCCGTGCCCGAGGAGCTCACCGTCCCCTTCGGCGAGCTGGCGCAGAAGTACGGGTTCTCCGCCCTCCTGCCCGTCATCGCGCAGTTCAACTGGTGGACCGGCGATATCTCCGCCATCCCGTCCCTTTACGGCATCAAGGGCCTCGGCCCGGGCCTGCTTGCCAGCCTCTTTGGCGAGTTTATCGTCTCCGGCACCGGCAACACGCGTAGCCTCTACGATGCCGCGGCCAAGGTGCTCGGCGACGATGTCCTGCTCGACTCGACCATCGTGAAGGTGAAGCGCGGAGCCTCCGGCGTCTCTGTGCTTGTCCACCAACCGGATCAGCCCCCCAAGCTCATCCGCGCTCGCAAACTCCTCATCGCTGCTCCCCCAACCCTGGACAACGTCGGCCAGTTCGACCTCTCCTCCCACGAGAGGAACCTCTTCTCCAAGTTCTCCGCCCTGGGTTACTGGGCCGGCGTCGCCACGATCCAGGGCCTCAACAACAGCCTGCAAAACGTCGGCGCCACCACGCCCTTCAACCAGCCCGCCATCCCTGGAACTAACGGCCTCTACACCGCCGGTTCCCCCGGCGACTTCCTCGTCGCCGTCGGCTTCAACGACACCAACTACTCCGACGAGGACGGCAAGAATGTCATCCGCAAGAACCTGGCGACCCTGGCCGCCGTCGGCGCCGTGCCCAAGGACGCGGCCGAGACGGTGACCTTCCCGTACTACTCCAACCACGCGCCGTACAACGTGCGCGTCTCCGCGGACCAGATCAAGCAAGGTTTCTACGCGAAGCTCCTGGCGTTGGAGGGCGCGAGGAACACGTACTGGGCTGGCGCGGCATTCTCGGGACACAACAGCGCATTGGTTTGGTCGTTCAACGAGGGAACTGTGCTGCCAGGGCTGAAGAAGGACCTGGGCCTGTAGGGGCTTGGACAGACCAGTAGTCTGTAGATGACAGCTCATAAAATCATACAGACTTACACGCTTAGTAACATGCGCCGAGTGCCCTTTGTTCACCACAGTGCATCATATGATGTCGTGTGTCACTGATAGAGAGAGTATTCCTCTGAATTGTTCCAGAGTCCTTGTGTCAGAGATTCCCAACATTATAGTTGCCGATTTGGCTTTTGGGTTTCCGTCCTTTTCCACCTGGACCTGCTGGTAACTGGTACCATTCGTACAGAGCTCATAAATCAGCAACGCAAACTCTAGAGACAGACGAAAACAACCCCATAGTTTACAACTCAGGAGCATCTGGCAACTGCCATGGACATGAAAGCAGAGCCAAAGTAAAGTACATAGCTTTTTTATAATAGAAATATCTATTTAGGAAGGCTTGCTAAGGGTCATCTTGAATTCAAATTTTGGAATGACTATGAATCACTATAGAAATACGCATTCGATCTCAGCTCACATCTGGACCTATAACTTCCAGTCGGCCAACAATGAGACTGCTTCAATTCTGCGCCGACTTGTTGACACAAACTGCACTCTGAGAGCGCGGGCCCATCTGCAAACTCAGAAGACTATCTATCTCATGACGTGCTTTAAGGTTCTGAGTTCTTGCTTGCATGGGTTAGGTCAACATACAGTTTTAGGACGTTTCCTGAATCCTAAAGTCTAAGGAAATCGGAAAGCTCCACGTCAACTCACAACGGCTCATCAACGAGTTTTAGCCAGGCACTCCCTTGGTCACATTCTTAGTCGCAACATCTCATTATCACATCTTGGGCACTGACTCTAAGGGTCGATAAGTCTATTGAGTCTCGAGTGTTTGCGCGTACTCTAGTCAAACCGGAGCTGATCGACACTATTTCTCCACTCTTTCATCTACCGGTCTATCTTCCGAAGCCAATTCTCCAACTATCTGACGTCCCACATCTAGCAACGTTGGTTGTCAAACGACCGGTCAACATACTATTCAGTGCATCTAGCAGCTCTTCCAGATGCACTGAGGGCAGTTGGAGTAGCAGAATCCACCACATCCCTTGCGACCATCAGGGCAGGTGCAGCAAGTGCCGCGAGACTCGAGGCCACCGGCGACAGCTTCATCAACGTCAACGGATGTGTCGATTCCCTTGGGAGATGCCATGGAGACACCGGCGAAGAGGGTAATAGCGGCGAGAACGGCGGAGACCTTCATTGTGGACTTTGAGGGTTGGTTAACTTCTGAGAGCGGCGTCATTCGGATGAATAGGATTCTTACATGTGAAGTAGCGTCTTTGGCGAATGAAGAGAGGCTGAGATGGATTTGGAGAGTCTGAGGAGTTGATGTCAGCGTTTTGGGACTGGTTGGTGAGATGGATGAGATGTAACTTGATAGTCAAGTTGCAAGTGTAAGACAAGAGGCTTGATGATGAGAGAAGTCCTATGGTCAAAGGCGACATTTGGCACTTTAATAGTTTTTTTGTCGTAGACTCTCACGGCGTCTTGACCAGAGTCCTCGGCAACTTCACGGGAAACCAATCTATCTGCGCCATTCAATGCCTCAACTCTACATCGATGTGGGAGAGTATCACGAGTCGTGGATCATGGCTTTGGTTGTCCTTCTGCTTGACTACAGTGGAGGCGAGAGTTGAGATTCTTGTGGGGAAATAGAAGATAGTATAAACCTTGCATAGGCAAGGCTTCGACTTGTGGATTCAAAGTGGGGGATAGAACGACTTACCCCATGTCAAAGTTCTCAATATTTCCGCGGGCACGGTACGCTAGCACAGGGGTCAATTTTACTTTTGACCAAAAGACGAACACGACCCTTTGCCGGGTATTTTTGAAAAAGCATGTTCGAGACTTGAATTTTGCATCTCCGGCGCGGTGTGTTGCGGGTACAGTCAAACGACTAAGACATGAGCTTCCGAGATGCAACTTTCGTCGTACCATGTACAGCATCAGGAGTGCCGGCACGGCAAGCCCATGGTGCCAGAATCCTCGTATACAACCATTCCCTGTTCTTTTTCGTATATTGCCGGTCAGCAGTGAAAAGCCGGAGTGTTCCGTGAAGCCGGGGCACGTGTGGACCCGAACGGCAGTTCTAATACTCATCTACTCTCATATTACGGGCACTTGCAATCGAACATCTCAGCTCGGTCAATTTACGAAATTGCAGACGTGTACTAGACACGTCATCATTCAGCCTGAAGACAGTCTCGATAAGTTTGTCGGCATCATTGACGGGAGACTCGTGTTTTAAGGTTCACATGCTGCGTTTCTTCTATCTAAGTCCAAGCAGCATCTTCTTTCTTGTCATCGCCGACGCCGCCGACATCGCCGACACCGCCGACTCTACAATCTCGGCGGGATTCGTCAATTCTTGAGTTACGGTGCACCAAGACCAAGTGCCGACCTTAAATTGAACGAAAAGGGGCCGAACTCACTAGTTTTGACAAAAATGACTTTGTCGACCACTTACAACGCTTTGCCCGAGGAGGAGCATCAAGCGGACAACGAATTTGACGCAAGCCGTCAAGCTGTCTACGTGACCCGTCTAGAAGCAAGAGTAGCCCACTTGAAAACAACTCTATGGGTCACGGTCTTCATTCTAGTCACGGTAATCGTCTTTGAGGCTATTCACTTGCATCGGGACATTCACCGCGGTGGCGGACGGCCAGGTGCTCTTGGAGAATCACAGACAGTCTCAGAAGCTCAACTGGGAAAATGCAAGTCTTTCCAGTCCCTTCCAAAAAAGGAACAATACAACTTCAAGTCCTGACCTGTTCCTAAAGGGCCTCTGGTTGCCACGACGTTCGCCCGCGATGATAAATTTGATGGACCGCCTTCGGAGAAGAGCGCCGCAGCTTGGGACAGCCTGATACCTGGTATGCATTTGATGCTCTTAATATCTTGGGCCTACATACAGGTCCAACTGGGAAGGCAAGACTGACAAGAAGAAAACTGATTTTAGTCGGCCGCGGCTTTGTCAACCCAAACGATTCCGGAATATCTGCCTTTCACCAGCTCCATTGCCTGGTAATCTCCAATCCTCCCATACCCTTGCGTTTCAATGGTGCAAACAGAGTTCTAACGTGCTGCAGTACATGATAAGAGAAGGCTATTACGCCCTGGCCTCAAACGGGACCCTCATGGGAGCCGACGCGACACCAGAAAGCCGCGCATGGAACCACACACAGGACGGCCATCTGGACCATTGCTTCGACTACTTGCGACAGTCTCTGATGTGCTTCGCGGACCCTACCTTGGAAGAGTCGCCCGTAGACAAAGAGCCAGGATGGAATGTGACACATGTATGCAATGATTGGGACAAGTTGTTTGACTGGGCAAAGACAAATCGTTACGATGACGCCGTTGGTATTGATACAGGAGTCTAGGCGAGAGTTTAGAATATATACACAAGAACTTTAGACATTTGCGTGGGATTTGGACGCAAACTTTTAGAGTTTCATCAGGAAGCCGTCGGTTTTGGAGGCACCGCTGTTGCCGCTGCTCCACGACCAGTAGCGGAATCCTGACCAGAGAGGTTGACGCAGTGGTCAGTGTCGAGCGTAGAAGTCGAAGACACGAAGGGGAAAACTTGAGCTTGCCCTAGTTGCAGAGCTTCATGATGTCAATGGTGGACAAAATTTTGGGGACTTACTTGATGGTCTTGACTTTGAGACCGGGAATCAGAATCGAACATTGCGTGGCAATAGCATTCTCAGCTTCGACAGGGCCTCTCCTCTTTAATATTATTGGGAAATGAATCAATTCATGGGTTTCAACTCTGTTGCACTCTCTATCATACACACTGTCTCTGTTGCCCCGCTAAAATCTACGAAAGCTTTGAACATTGCGACCTGCAGTGCTCGAGGTACAAGATTGCTGAGGTGCCCCGCCGTTACCATCAGCAAATTTTGTTTCTTCCGCGTTCAGAGAAGCTGATGCCTTCCTCGTATGGCAAATGGAATTCATATGGGATGACCTTGAATTCTACTTCAGCTGCCTCAAAGGCTTTCGTCAAGTCACTTGACGCATTGCCAGTATCAAATTCGAAGATTGGGGATTTGACAGCCACCTTGCGAAGATTGGGAAGCCTGCCTGCCAGGAGGGATGATCGTAGGCGAAGGAGCATCTCGGCAAACGGCTCGGCAACGGCATCAGTATTGTCTTGGGAGTGGAGAACATAGTCGTCCGGTGCCCGTACTTCATAACGCATGCAATATAGAAACCTCGGGTCTCTGTACCACATGTCGTAGATCGTCAGGTTCTCAATATTCGGAGGGAGGCGACCGGAAACGTCTGCCAAAGCCATGTCTTCCAGACTCTTGAACAGACAAGGGACGTCTGCTTGCAAATTGACCAAGTTGTGCATCTTGGAAAGCCAGGAACATTCTGGTTCGTCTTCGAAGAAAAGCAACCGATTGCCCTTTGTCCGCAAGGTGAGAGTGCCGAGTTGTGGACATGACGTCGCGATTGCTGTCGAAATGCGAGCTGTTTCCGTTCCATAGCTGATTCCACGCTCGTCATGAGGGTTTGGGCAATCCATCACTATCTCGAGCTTCTTGAGGTCAGGACAACGCTCTAACAGGGAGCATAAAGCGGAGCCAGTCTTGGTCTCCTGGTAGAGAGAGAGTTCCTGGAAAGCCAGAGGCACAGCCCGGCCAGTTTCGCTGAGTGATGCCCACTGACTGGAGTCAGAGTAGGAAGTGAATGATGTAAGGGTCGGCAATGCGAGCAATCCGGGTACAGGGAACCTGGAAAACCTGGTGAGGATAGGCGGCCATTCAAAGAAACGGTAGACATTTCCGTGGATTTCCAACCGTTGCAAGTGAGTGAGGACTTTGTGCTTGAAGTTCTCGTTTCGGTCGGGACTGCCAGCGTCTTTTCCACCGTAAGTAGAATGGAAAGCTGAGATGAAGCGATCGATACCACTGGGGCTTTCGCGATTGATTCGGGGAGGAGAATAGAGGTCCGCACGTCTCTCGTCGACAGGATGAGTGCGATCGCGATCATCGAACCCTATCGTCAGATGCTCAAGCCGGGTAGTCAAAGACAACATGAGGCCAGCGAAAATCTCGAAAGATTCCTCAACGTCATCGTCAGTGAATGCGCCGGTCTGCTGCTCCTTAACACCGCAGTGCTCGAGAGCGCCGAGGAGGGATGTGGGTATCTTGTTGAGGTCGATCTTCTCGTAGATGGTGTGAACGCCATCGTAGGCCTCTCTCTCACGATTCAGAGCAAACCCGAGACAAAGACCTCTAACGTGGGTACAGAATCGGGGTTCCTCGATGAATGATCGCAAGAGTAATCCCATTTGCTTGCCCTTGGTCAAGTATATGTCGGAGAACAGCTGTCTCTGGCTGGAGTGTCGAAGGGCTCGACAGGTACGGGAGAGTGCCATGATAGCCAGCCTGGTGGTGCTCCGGAAGTGGGCAATGGACTTTGGTTTCGAAGGTTGAATATTGAAAGTCGGCAATCTGTGGTCGGGGGGGAATGCTCTCAGAATCTCCAAGATGATTTCGCCGGGGAGGCCGAGGAGAAAAGATCGCGATGATTGATCAACGGTGCTGTCGGAAGTCCCCATGTTTGAAAGAGTGCTGCAAGCCGGCTTTTCGACCTGAGTGATGCGGTGGTCCGTAACCTTTCTTGTTGAGGAGTCGCTGTCGGGGATGTCGGTGTGTGAGGAACCACCGCGGTGGACATGGTCGTTCGGGGTGTCATCACCGTGGGCATCATTGCTGCCGATGTCACCGGGAGGCGCTTGCGGTGATGTGGGGGACTCCGCCATCTTGATGAAGGGTATTCAGTGCTCGCACCTTGCCGTGGTTCGCCTCTGAGGAAGTATGGACGATGTGGTGTGGTTGAAAGCGAGAGAAGGGAAAAGAAAAGTACGGTGGACGGTAGCTCTCATAATAAGGGCACCTCTCGCTCTTCTCGATGGAAGGGGTGAAAAATTCTGCTTCTCCCAGCCCCAAGGACACCAAACGCCATCAAAGGCAAGAGCAAACAGCGTCTAGATAGGAAGGAAGGACGGGTAGCCGCTGTGCCTACCCCCGTTTGCAGCTTCCTGACACCAGAGTCTGCGCTGAGCGCGAGCGAAATTCCGATAAACAATACATCGTTGCTCTAATCACTGAAGTCTCAATAGTACATAGCACCTTCTCATCTTCTTGGTCGTGCACACAATGAGGTGGTGATGATGTCTGCACCACCTCACACTGCTTGTCTCCTAAGTCACCCCCCCAAGTAACCAATACCCCCAGGTAACCAATAGCCAGTTCTACATATAAACTTCAAAAACACACTATTTTTAAAACCCTATAACTTAGCAAAATTATAATATAAAATAATAAAGGTTTCTATATAGCTAGTTTAGTAGTATTTATAACTAAATAAAATATTATATAAATTATTACTAAGTTATTTATTAATAATAACCTAATATAAAGTAGAAGAGATTTAAGCTACCCCCCTAAGTAACTAATATATACCTGCTTTAAACTAATAGAGAAAACTATAATTTTCACTTACTTTAACCTTTTATATCTATAAATCTATTAAATATATAAATATATAAAAAGTATATATTATACTATAAATATTAAAATAAATAAATATCTACTTATTTTATATTTTAGTTAATTATATAAACTATAATTAATATTTTAATATATAGTATTTAATATTATAGAAACTTTATTAATATTTATTTTATTATTTTTTAAGATAATAATATTATTTAAGATTTCTTAATTTTAAGTAATATATAATATAATATTAATAATTAAAAAACTAACTTTATTTAATTAAAGTTTAATTTAATATTTATATAAAATTATATTAACTAATTAATTTAATATAGATTTTTAAGTAATATTAAGGATTTTTTAATATTTAATAAGAAAATATTAATTAAATCTCTTTTATTTTATATTTAATTTATTTGTAAGGGTCTAGCCGCTTAGACTAGAAAAGCTTAGGGATAGTTCAGCTAGACTAAGCTGAAAGGATAGAGAACCCTATAGAGATAGGGTATAGAACCCTCTATAGCGAGGACTTAGTAAGTACTTACTAAAAGGTTAGAAAAGAAGATCTTAGAAGAAATAAGTAAAAGTAGCGTAATAATACTATACCTACCTTTTAAGTACTTTTTCTATTAGTTTAACTTAACTATAGCTTATAGCCTCTAAATATCTTTATAATTCTTTTACTTCTACTTTACTTTAGGAAAGTTAGTAATAATAATAGCGCTATATACCTAAGTAATACTTATTAATTAAACTAAGGAACTTATACTTAGTATTTACTAAGTGCTAAGTGAGATAGCTTATATAAGCTTATATAGGGAAGATAACCTTAGTAAATAATTAGAGGATAATATAAGTTAATAAGAGGAGGTAAGAAGCTATACTTTAAGTAAAGCTAAAAGCTTTAAAGAGGATAGGCTACTTATACTAAATACTTATTAAATAGATAATAAGTATATATAGGAAAATAGGGAATATAAGACTCCTCTTTATAGATTAGATAAACTATAAGGCTAGATGTTTATAGCTACTACTAATAGGTTAGCTTAAGCTAGAAGGCTAAATAAAGCTATTAGCTAAGTACTAATATAGTAAATTATAACTATAATAGCTAATTAGTATAAACTAATTGCTACTACGTTAAATAACTAAGCGCTTACTAAATAGTTACTAAAGGTTTATAAGAAACTTTTAAACTATAATATAGCTTACTTTATTAATAAATTTATTAATATAAAAAGGGAAGATTAGCTTATTATAGTAGAAGAGGCTTATAAGTACTACCCTAGCTACTCTAATAGCTAATATATCTAATAAGCTTTAAGTATAATAAAATATACTTTATAAATAAAATAGCAAACTTATTAGTAAATACTTATAGATATATTAGGGAAATAGGTTAACCTTATATAGAAAGACTTTAGAGTTTTTATAAAAAAGTAGTATATAGCGCTTAAACTCTAAGAATAGAACTACTATAATACCTTAAAGTAGTACTACTAGAAGAATAATAAGAAACCTATTATATATTAAGCTTATTAAGAGTTTATTAACTAAGCCTTTAGTAAGCTAAATATAAGTAATATAAAGGCTTATATATTCTTTTAAGGCTTTATTAAGACCTTAAAAGATAAGCTTTTTAAATAAGATATTAATCGTATTAATATATATACTATAGCCTTATATATATAAAGACTATAGGAGATTTTAGAAGGGAGATATATAGGAAGGCTTACTAGCTATTCTAAGTTATATAAATAACTATACTTAGGATCTCTAGACTACCTTTATAAAAATAGCTTATAACCCTCTTAGTTAATAGACCTAAGGGAGTACTATCTAAAGACCTTATCTTAGAATAACTGCTTAGTAAACCCCTATATAGGGCTTAGCTCTAATAGTAAACCTCTTAATCTTTAGGGAACTTAGTACTATAATTATAAAAAGTATAAATATATCTCCTCTAATTACACTAAACTATATATATAGCCTATAAGTAGTAACTAAAACCTAAACTTAAGATAGGGTAAGATTAATGCTATTATAATCTCTTATATAATTAATATTAAAGACTTAAGAAATAAGTAGGTATAGAGGTAACCTTAAGGGGTATTATACTAGAAATCACCTTAGTTTCTATAAAGTAAACTATTAAAAGTTAAGTAATTATACTTTAAGTATATAATAAGGTTAAACTATTAGTTAATATAGATATTTATACTATAATAAACCTTATATAAGAAGACCTTATAGAGAAACTCTTACTAAAAGAAGCTATTAGTATTATAGCTTTAGAGCTAGTAGACTTTTAAAGAAAACTAATACCTACTAATAAGGTTTATTAGCTTACTATCTTCTTAATTAAGAGCTAAAGCTATCTATAGAAGATTTACTAAGCGTTTATAGCTAGCTTATATCCTAAAAGAATAAGAGATATCCTTTTATCTAATAACTTAATAGGTAGAGAAGGTATTTATATAGATACCTATACTTATACTTAGTTATATAATTATATCTTACTTACTAAGCTAGAGGTAATAGTATAAGAGATTATAGAAAATAGCTAGAAAGCTTATATAATATACTTAATAGAAGCCTTAGCTTTAGATAAAAAAGATATTAATACCTTAAGTAAAGGCTTACTAGATAAGGGGCTTAAGAAGAAGATCCCTAAAGAACTTAAACCTTTTACTAACGTTTTTAATAAGGAAAATATAAAAAAAGTCCTTAAACTAAAGGGAGTAATATATTATATTAAGTTAAAACCTAGTAAAGAGCCTCTATATAGGCTTATATACTTTATATTAGTAGAGTAGCTATAAACCCTTACTAAATATATTTAGGAAATAGAAGTAGCTAAATATATCTACTACTTAACTAGTTCTACTAAAGCGCTAGTCCTATTTATACCTAAAAAGGATAGCAGCCTATAGTTATATATAGATTATAGAGGGTTAAATAAAATTATAGTGAAAAACTACTACCTTCTACTACTAATTAGTAAGCTTCTAGATAGGCTTACTAGTATAAAGTTTATTTTTAAGATTAATTTAAATAAAGTATATTATAGAATTATAATTAATAAAGTAGATAGATAGAAGACTACGTTTAAGACCTAATATAGGTATTTTAAGTATATAGTAATACTATTTAGGTTTACTAATACTTTAGTAACCTTTTAGGTATATATTTACTAAATACTTACTAACCTTCTAAATACTTACTATATTATATATCTAGATAATATCTTAATCTATTTAGATATTAGGGAATAGTATATAAAAAACCTTTATATAGTCTTATATCGCCTAAGGGCTACTAAGCTATTTATAAAACTAAAGAAGTATAACTTCTATTAGATAGAAGTAGATTTCCTTAAGTTTTATATTACTTAAGATAGTATTAAAATAGACCTAAATAGAGTTTAAGTAGTTACTAAATAACTAGTACTAAAATCCTTTAAAGATATCTAAGTTTTCTTTAGCTTTTATAACTTTTACTATAAATTTATTACTAGATACTCTTATATTATAGTTCTTATAAATAGTATGCTAAAAGGAAGTTAAAATAGTATAAAGTTAGGAGCTTTTATTTAGATAGGGGAGATATAGACTATATTTAAGATACTTTAGAGAGTATTTACTAAAGCCTTAATATTAAGATATTATAACTTAGCGCTAGAAACTAAGGTTGAGATTAATATATCTACTTAGGTAGTATCTAGTATACTTTTATAGAAGTATAATATTATCTAGTACTTAATAGCTTTTTAGTTAAGGAAGCTTTTAGATATAGAAAGATATTAAGCTATAAGGTAATAAAAGCTCTTTATTATTATAGAAAGCTTAGATTACTAGGCGTAATACCTCTAAGGGCTCCCTAAGAAATTCCTAGTACTTATAGACTATATAGCACTAAAGGGGGTGCTTACTATACCTATGCGCAATATTTATAGAAGGCTTATATAATAGGTCTACTACTTATTAGCATTTAATTTTGAAATCTAATATAGATTAGGAGTTATTAATCTAGTAGATAGATTATTATAATACTTTAACTATATAGTAAAAGACTTTAAAGTAGATAATATAATCCCTATTTTTAGGAAGAAACTAAGACTTATTAGTTAGCTATTAGTAATAACTTACTAATATATCGCTAAGCTTAAAGGAACTATAGCTATTATGAGAACTTATATTTAGGCTATTTAGTAAAGTATATAAGAACTTTATTAGAGGGCTAGCTCTAAAGTTAAGGGATC